ATATATATATATATATATATATATATATAAAGGATGGGTCTATTATGATAACACTCCTTGAGACCTTATTCTGCACATCCCACCATATTATGCTAACACCCCGATGACCCGAACCGAACCCCGCTAAAAAGCCAACCGAGCTGCGTGGTAAAAAATCCCACCGCTTCTGCCCAACGAGGCCACGAACCCCCACCTCCTCTCCCCACACCGCTCCCACGACCGCACCTACCTCCCGATCCCCTCCGCAATCTTCCTCTCGTCACCAACCTCCCACCACGCCGCCCAGGATCTCCACCACCGGCCACCGTGCCGCGCACCACGCACCCCCCTCCGCCGGCCGCCGCGGGAGCCATCCCACCCGCGCCGTGCATCACCTCCCCTCCCTTCCCAACGCCACACGACGGTCTGGATTTCGCCCACGCCTCCCATCCCGACCTCGCTCCCCACCAGGCCCCGGCCGCCCCTCCCCAGACCACTGCCGCCACCCCTCCACAGCCAGCTGCCGCGCCGCCCCTTCCTATGCCGGCGCTGCTCCGCCCCTTCCCAGGCCGCCACCGCGCCCCTGCCCGCGAGCACCGTGGGCGTTGACTGCCGCTACAACCCCCGCCTCGGTGATCTCTTTCTGCATCGTAGCGGCCAAATCCAGTGCCGTGCAGTCAATTGCATGGGTGCATGAATCACGCCCATCCTGCACCCCTGGATAGCCCACGAGATCTTGCTACTGGGAGGGCAAGGTTTGAGCGGTTCGGGTGGTGCTCCACTGCAGCTCGGTTGCTGGAGGGAGGGCGGTGGTGATGTGCAGTCATGGGGGTTGGATGCCCAGCGCCCTCCTCTTCTGCCCTTCCTCCACCCTTTTTCTTAGGCCCGGTGAGCCTCCATTCCCGACTACCAACTCTGTAGGTCCACTAACTTAGATGCGTGTGACCTTCTCTGATGTGCGCCTCACTAGTGGGGCCCCACATCGCCGGCGTCGGCCTCCAACGAGCAGTGGCCCGAGCTTGTCTCTTCATTTTTCTGCTCGTGCACCTCCCGTTTAGACCCTGCTGTTTGTGGGCACAAGCGATGCAGTCCACTATGTATTCAGGTAGTGCAATGTGCTAGAATCCTTTTGTTGGAGGTGACTGCTGCTCCTTGCCACCCATCTCCTTCCTCTACTGCAGAAGGAAGGCTCGCAACGTCTCCATGTAGTTCGCCCCTGGCAGCGACACCATGGCTGTGTGTGGCATGCAGTTAAGTTTCATGTCCTCTGTGTTTTTTTAAGAAAAGTTCATTGAAGTTTGTTGTGCAGCTCGCTTGCTGGTGTAGTACGTGGGCAACTCCGTCGTACAGTTTGTAAACATCTTTTCTTTGTAAAAGCAGTGCGCTTGGTGAAACCAAAGCCAAACCCGAAGTGAAGAATGAAGAACAGAGGTCTGTGATAGAAAAGTTTCCATCAAGTGTTCCTGTGATTGGTCCTGCAATGAAAGGAGTAGCTTCCGTGGGCAGGTGATCAAACATCTAGTTTGATATGCGCTGATTCAAAATTTCAGATTAGTTACTGAATATTGTTACTCAGGAAGTACTAGTTCTTGGGGCTGATTGCACTCTTAATTTCAGTCACAAGGACGAGTTCTTTTCAACCTTGCAGCACTCTTGGCTTGGCTTGCGGCTGTTGTGGCTAGATGTTAGGATTTCGTCCAGATTATTGCTGAAGCTAGCCAACGGGAAAAGACTCTCTACAAGACTTATTCAAGCTGGTCCCCTTTTTGGTTTTTGTCGTAGTCCCATTCTCTGTTTTTCACTGCACCAAAACCATTGCAGCTCTGGATAGTGGATAGGTGCGGTGCGGCTAACGCACTGTTGCAGTGCGGAGTGTTTTTGGTGCAGGTTTGAGTGTTATTGACGCAGTGCAGAGTCCTCTCTAAGCAGTCCATAGCATTTTTTTATTTTTTCAGGTC